ACGTCCCAAGGTACTGGAACAAACAACTTTACAGTAAATTTATCACAAAATCATTTTAATAATAATCCTTGCATTTGGTATAGCACCTTAATATATCTCAAAGTACTTCACAGAATATACTGTACATAAGAACATAAGAACATAAGAATTAGGAGCAGGAGTAGGCCATTCGGACCCTCGAGCCTGCCCCGCCATTCAATAAGATCATGGCTGATCTTCAGACCTAACTCTAATTACCTGCCCTATCCCCATATACCCTAATCCCTCTATTTTTAAAAAATCTATCAGTCTCAGCCTTGAAGATGTTCAAGAACTGAGCATCTACAGTCTTCTGGGGTAGTGAACTCCAGAAATTTACTACCCTCTGAGTGAAGAAATGTTTCCTCAACTCTGTTCTAAAAGGCTGACCCTTAATTTTAAGACTGTGACCCCTGGTTATAGATTCTCCTACCGGGGAAACAGACCCTCAGTGGCTGCTTTATCCAGCCCTTTAAGAATCTTATATGTTTCTATAAGATCTCCCCTAATTCTTCTATACTCTAGAGAATATAGCCCTAGTTTATTCAGCCTATCCTCATAGGTCAGTCCCCTCATCCCAGGAACTAACCGAGTGAATCTACGCTGCACCCCCTCTAGGGCAAGTATGTCCTTTTTTAAATAAGGACACCAAAACTGCACACAATACTCTAGGTGCAGTCTCACCAAGGCCCTATACAGTTGCAGCAAGACTTCCCTACTCTTGTACTCTAAACCTTTTGCAATGAATGCTAACATGCCGTTCGCCTTCTTAGTTGCTTGCTGCACCTGCAAACTAACTTTTTGAGACTGGTGTACAAGGACACCCAAATCCCTCTGAACACTGAAAGTGTGAAGTGGATTGACTGTGTACTTTGTGGGCAGAACATGGCAACCAGTTTGCACATTGCAATGTCCCACAAACAGCCGTGGTGTGAGTGACCAATTTTATTTGGGGATTTGTTGACCAGGACACTGGGAGAGAGAAACTTCCTTCTCTTTTCGAGTAGTGTAATGGGATATTTTAACGTCCATCTGAACAGGCTGACGGGACCTCTCTTTAACGTCTCATCCGAAGGAATATTAAAATATTTATTTTAACCCTAACCCTAACCCTAAGTAAAACTTCAGTCTGCTTTGTTTATTGTGGAGATGGACCATCCGTCCTACATCCCTACTCTTTTATGCTAGTCAATATTTGGTATAGTTTATGAAACTGGCTTGTCATTCAGTGTATTACACACAGTCAGAAACCAATGTGCAACGTAGCTCAGTATCGTTCACTGACCACTAATTGAAACTGACTTATATTAAGATTTATCCCAAATGGACAATAATGCTGGTAAAATAAATATTAAAGATAAAAAAAAGTTAAGATTGAAAAGAACGTTTTGAAAATCAAGTCAAAATAAAAACCAGGATGGTGAGCGAATAGAGAAGACGATAAAATGTGGGGAAAAAAGTGATGGTGGGTTGAGCAGATGTAAAATGTATAGTTTTTAGTTAAATCTATGCATCTTGTGTTTATTTTAGTGTGTTAGGGTCAATAGTACATCAATAAAAATATCCTGATGTTTTGAGCTGCTTTATTACTGTAATATTAGTATTTTATTTAGTGTTACAGTATGTGAGCTAAAAATGTACAGAATCTATTGGCCCACAGAGAGCAGCCTTGACAGCTGCCATAGGGCTATGGTTAGAGCTCTATGTCTATCTCATCTACTGCAGATATCCTACGGTCAATTAATTTATTGGGCTCTTTCATAACATATGTTTCACTGACCAGTACAATCATTATAGAATCTCAGGACAATACATTATAGACTCCCAAGATGATTTGAAAGTTGTCAGTCTTCACTTGTGAAGATTAATATGATGAATTAATTTAGCATCTCAGCTGTTTCCCAAATCCCTCATAATACAGTATTTCTACCCAAGTGTCACAAATCTAAAATACACTAGTTTCCAAACTAGTTTAAAACAAAATGAAGTTCACCGTCTGTTGTTTGATGCCACACACAAAAAAATGATAATCCTTGCGTTTGATACAACAATAACAACAAAATTACATTTGTATATCGCCTTTCATGTCAGGAGGACGGCCCAAGGAGCTGGACAATCAGTGTTTCAGACCCAAGCTGGGGGTTCGGATCAGGGAGGCTGGAGGGCAGAGGGAGAGAAGGAGGGTGACCGAAAGTACAGTTGAAGAGGAGGGTCTTCAAACAGGTCTTGAAGGAGGCAAGGGAGGGGATGAGGCTTTCATGTTGGGAACACAGCACATCAGTTTGCTGGTTTGCTTTAACCAGGTACAAGGAAATTGAAGGCGTAGAACAGTGAGTGTAGGTAATTTCTTAACAGAGGCAATAAATAAGGAATTAATAATATATTTACAAGTATTCTTTGTTGTTAGCACACCAGGTTATGTTATTAGCCCACCGGTCACTTAGAAAGGTTGTAATCACCTGCTAAATAATGCAATTCAGGTTCATAAGAAATAACTCGGTTGTTAGTTGATTGGCGGATCGCTTTTCCGGGGGTAATGATTCCTTAAAAAAAAATTTGGTCATTCAATCCACGACTGTTTATGGGACTGCTGTGCAATTGGCTGCCAGATTTCACCCACAAAATATACAGTCAATCCACTTTACAGTATATTCTATGAAGCGCCTTTGAGACATCTCGAAGATGTGATAAGGCATTATATTAAATGCAAGGATTATTATTATATCAGTAAACTCCTTATAACTCGTCACTTCTAGGAAAAGGGGCTTAGTGATGAGTTATCCAGACTGGTGAGGTAAGCATATGTATAACTACATAAATAAATGTGGCGTGATATTGACAGCAGGTGACTTAAGTAGTAGTGACAAGTTAAGCAAGGGTCAGGTTATCAGGAGTTTACTGTGTTTCTTAGACTTATCTGGTCTTTAAAACTCTGTCTGCATCTTACCTTATTAAAGAAATTCTTTTACCTCTCCATAATCTGTTTTTTACTGTTTTCAATCCTTTTAGTTATCTTCAACTGATTTTTGAATGTTTCCAAATCCTCATGATTTTTTGATGTCTGACAGTTTTTAAACTATTTTTTCTTTGACCTTACATTATCTTGACCTTCCTATCCATTCACTGTGAACCCGGTCTTTGTTCTTTTTCTCCTGGGGATTTATTTCCTTTCCACATTCTTTAAAATGGTCTCAAAATGTATCCATTTTTCTTCCCTTGTTTTACTTTCCAATTCAACATCTCAATTAATCCTCTCTTGAACTCTTCACATCTGGGCTTCTAAAGTCTTCCACTCATGACTGTTGTTTTTGGCCTTCGCCTTTTTATTATACCGAAGCTAACTCATAGCAGCACTATTAGCATTTAGAAATGCGTAGGTGAGACTAAATCATGGAGCTATCTGTTGAGTGAATGGGAAGTTCAGGAATAAAGGGTTGAAAACAGTAGCACTGTCTCATTTGGGTGGACAACTATTTAGCCGTAATCTCTTGTTTCAAAACATACAATTATGCTGGTTTTATAGACAGGCTGATTTGAAACAGGATTTATACTTCCAAATTCCCAAGCGGAAATAGTGCATGTACATTACAAAGTGGTGTTAGATTTTGAATTTGTTAAGAATTGGTTGCCAAGAGCAGCTCATTAATATCAATAAAATAGTCCCAAATACAAGGGTTACCTAAGAATGCTCCTCGGAGGTGTCCGATTGACCAGCACCAGTCGAGATACGTAGATGTATATTGGGAGGGAGATGAAGCAAGGAATTTCTTCCAAGGGAATACATTTGATAGGCTGCTAGTCCTTTTTCTGCTCCTTCTTATCTATGCATTTATGTAATGATTACGTATTGTTTTTAGTAAAGACTGAATCAGCATACATCCCTGCATTTATGTTTTAAATCAATGTCCTAGCAAAACCATCTTCTCAAGGTGATCTCAGTGGACGGGCCCCGTAGTGAATCGTTTTGCTATCACACAACTTGCAAGAAAAAAATTTGCTGCTTTTTTTCAGAACAATCCAGTATGAAATTGCAGCAATAAACCTAGGCACTGGTCCAGACAATGTAAGGTAACAAGGTGGAGCATATCAAAAGAACTTACTGTATTGCTCAGTAGGTAAATGAACATATAATGTGGTGCTGAGCCATGCAGACCCTGACCTGTACTTACACAACATTCAACACAATCCAAAAGTAACTCATTCAAAGGTAACTGATTGTGTTAAGTACTTTGAGTTGCCATACTCTAGCCTGGACCCTGAGGTTTCGGCGGGCAGAGTGGGGAGATAGTAACAGAGGCAGGCAATGTTACAGTTGTGGGGTTTGCTGAGCAGGTCAAGGTATGAATATGAAGTTTAAAGGAAGTTGACAGTCGAACAACACACCAAGGATCCACCCAGATCGCACGAGATGGAGTATACATCCAAGTATTTTGATGCTGTCAGCACCTGTCAACTGCAAAAGGTGAGAGCTCACCCAGGACTTGATGTCCAACAGGCATTTGATCAGAACAGCAGTGGTCCTGGAATCAAGGGAGGAGGTAGCCAGACAGAGTTGGGTGTCATTTGAATGAATACATATGGAAGTTAATCCCATGTCTGCTGATCACATTGCTGAATGGGAGCAGACATTGACATTTTCACCACAAAGAAAGGCCATAATAAAATTGTGTCTGTGCAGCTGTGTTTTTAAATTGCTATTTCATATAGAAACACAATATGTTGGTAAATTGCACAATTAAAACAACAACAACAACAAAATTACATTTGTATAGCGCCTTTCATGTCAGGAGGATGTCCCAAGGTGCTGGGAGATTAATCTTTCTGAATTCTGAGAAAGTACCGCTACGTTTGTGTCTCCCAATAGCATTATGTTGAAGACCTTACTACAGCTGTTTCTGTACAATCCCTCTTTTCTTAGTTTGTAAGAAAAATTTCTTATCTTACTGACTTTGATGGAGTATCCGGATATCAAGTGTACTTACAGGAGGGCCTGTAAAGAGAGAAAAAAAAGCACGCAGTCAAATACAAGAACACAAATAAAATACAAGCAAATGAAATAATTGTACAATGCAAAACAATTTACATTAATATAGCGGCTTTCACATCAGGATGATCTCTCAAAACGCTAAACAAAGTTATTCATTTAAACAAATCATTTCAAAGTTTGAAGGTGTAGAGTGTAAACAGAAGCACTGTAAAATACCACTGTGGGCTTTTTAAATTCACTGACTTCAAAATGATTTCTGATTTCAAGAGCACATCCAAAGAAGAATCAATCCACAGAATTTATATTATATTTCAAATGTTTAGTTCAGCCATGATGCAGCATTCTAATCAGCAGGAAATAAAATACTCCACACGGGCCAGTTATGTGACCAGCCGAGTTTGTAGCCAGTGTTTAGTTATCGACAGACTCTAGTTATCGACTGTCTTTAGTTGTCAACTGTCTGTAGTTATCGACAGTCCACCTCTGCATGATAATGAGTCCATCACATCTATACTGTACTGCTTTGTTGCCTGAGATCTGCCCAATGTGCAGGAGTATCAGCCACAATAGTGAGTCCATCACATTTGCCACTGCTCTGTTGTGTTACCTGGGAAACGGACAGAGGATTCAGTAGGTGGGTTGCATCCTGTTCTGGAGTCTGTTCAGCCCATCTAGAGGTGGAATGGTGACTCTAACAGGAGGAGTGCAACTCTGCGGAAGACTAGTTTAAATGATGTGCTTTTCAACTGACAGATTAATCTCATCAGTAGAAATTCGCATTTAACATTTGTTGAGGAGATATCCTACCTGGATCTAGAATTATAATAATAATAATAATAATCCTTGAATTTGATATAGCGCTTTTCACGTCGGGAGGACGTCCCAAAGCGCTTCACAGAGCACACTGTAAAGTGAATTGACTGTATATTTGTGGGCGAACGCGGCAGCCAATTGCGCACAGCAATGTCCCACAAACAGTCGTTGATTGAAAATGACCAATTTATTATTGTTTTGGGTTTTGGAGGGATTATTATTAGGCTCTGTGTGGAGTAAGGAAACTTGCCCGAGGTTTCGCCCTCTGCCTGGAATTGAACTCAGGTCTCTCACTTGCAAAGCGAGTGCTCTAACCACTGAGCTACAGGACTCCATTTAAAGTAAATTACTTTACTTAGAGTATCCAGAATTTGGCAAGTTGTTGAATTCAGTCTTAACTTTGCACACTCCACCTTACTAAGCCAGTCTGGAACCTTGGCGTCTTGTTTGACCCTCAACTATCCTTTCTACCCCACATACGTGCCATGACCCGCTCTGCCTTCCCCCACCACCGCAACATCGCCGGCTCAGCCACTGTCTCACACCACAGGCCGCCGAAACCCTCATAAACGCATTCATAACATCCAGGCTTGACTCCCTGCTTGTCGACCAACCCAACTCCTCCCTCCATAGGCTGCAGAACATCCAGACCTCTGCAGCCCGCACCAGGCTCCGTAACCTTAACCTCGCCCACCCCCCATTGGGAGGTAAGCCTTCAGCAACTCTGCCGCACCCTCTGGAACTCCATCCCGCAGTCCCTCTGCCTTGCCCTCTCCCTTGCCTCCTTTAAGACCCATCTCAAGACCCTCCTCTTCGACCGTGACTTCGATCACCATCCTTCACCCCCTGCCCTCCACCCTCCCTGATCCCGACCCCCAGCTCGGGTCCAAAACACTCACTGTCCAGTGCCTTGAGACGTGAAAGGCACTATAGAAATGTAATTTTGTTGTTGTTGTTGTTAACTTTGAACCTGCTTTTCTGTAGGTCTTAGAAGAATTTACAAAATAATAATAATAATAATAATCGTTGCATTTGATATAGCGCTTTTCACGTCGGGAGGACGTCCCAAAGCGCTTCACAGAATACACTGTAAAGTGAATTGACTGTATATTTGTGGGCGAACGCGGCAGCCAATTGCGCACAGCAATGTCCCACAAACAGTCGTAGATTGAAAATGACCAATTTAATTATTGTTTTTGGTTTTGGAGGGATTATTATTAGGCGTGTGGAGTAAGGAAACTTGCCCAAGGTTTCGCCCTGTGCCTGGAATTGAACTCAGGTCTCTCGCTTGCAAAGCGAGTGCTCTAACCACTGAGCTACAGGACTCCACAGAATACCATACTTAAAAATTTGCCAAATGATGCACCTCTGAAGACTCAGGTGAAATTCCTCTAAAACTGTTCATAGTTTTGTACAGTACTAGACTGTTATATTGTAGATATATTTTTGAGGCGAAAGTTGGAGAGTACCATATTATCAGGACTAGTTACCTTCAATTGACAAATGACAGTTTGTCCAAAACTTCACTGATTTAATTCACGTTTCGGAAGTTTTTCCCCATGATCGAGGTCCAACCTCAAAGAGTACGCATGGTTAGGGACAGAGTTTACAAAGGCTACAAATCACAGTAACCAGTTAAGCAGTGGCATGTAATTATGTCCCTTAACTCTCTGTCAGCTAAACTGGCTGAAACCGAGCAGTTTACACCGCTCCAGAACTCCTATGGATGGAGTCCAGTTGCCACAAAGATTGTCTTCTGTCACTTATATTTCCAACAAGTTAAACACTGCCACCAATGTACTACGGCTGGTTAATAATCCTCCAGTTTACTTATCATTCACTTCATAGTTGTGTATGGGACCTTGCTTGTGCAAATGGCGACCACATTTGTCTCCAAATACAGTCATTACATTTGACAACAATTACTTGGAAGCAGGTTGAGGTTTTTCAACTTGATATGATTCATGATACAAATCCTCTCTATTTCTGAGTGCTTCAGTGCTGATTATTATTATATTGGGGGATATTGGGAGAGCTTTCATTTATCTACAGGCAGATGTTGGCATCGATATTGGACCTCATGGAGCTCGGAGCATCAAGCACTGGAATTATCACCAGGCAGCAGAGTGTTAAATGTCAGGTGGTGCCTTTTCAAAGGAGAACTCTAAGAATTGGAATGGAACTGTGCCCCAGAATGAAAGAATATAATGATGTTATTTCAGCTGATTCAGAGAATAATATGATGAAGAAATGTCTGCTCTTTCCTTTTGTCATTTGTCTGTACTATATCCAGGCTTCACATTTTACACAAGATCATTTTTGCAGCTGCTATTTGAGGCGATCGGGGGTGGGGGGGCTGGAAACGACACATATTTCAAAAGCTGCAAAGAACATTTAGAGCTTCAGGGCAAGTACTAAGCTTGAAATTGCAGTAAAAGTCTGGGGGGAGATACTCTGATATTACAGCAAAGCAAAGTCAGTTTCTTTTCAATCTGGGAAAACTAAACTTGTCTAAACTAAATTACTCATCAATGTATTTAAGAGACAACTTGATGCATACATGAGCGAGAAGGGAATCGAGGGATGAAGTGAGGTAAATAGAAGGGGTGGAGGTTTGTGTGGAGTATGAACACTGGCAAGGACTAATTGGGCTGAATGACCATTTCTGGGCTGATTCACTCTAGCTTTATGTCAACTCAGAGCGAGATGGCTATGCCTAACTGGGTACAACCATCTGATTTTATCAAACCTATATTAGCAGGAATGCTAAAGATGGTATGAGAAGAAAACACAGTGTTTCTCTTAAATCAGAATAATGTATGTCGTAGGAAACCAGAAATCACTCTGGACAAACTTAACATATAACACAAGCGATGATTTTAACAGCAGTTCACAGGCTGGGTGTAAGAGTAAGGATGCTGCTCAACTGCAACTAACAGAGTCTGTCTGAATGCTTTCTTTTCTATGTTGCATGCAAATCATGCCCTTTTTCATAACTTTAATATCACAAATTACTCCATTTATACTTTTAATTTAACATGCAAGGCAGCATTGAATTTCACTTCAAGTGCAACATTACAGATTTATTTTTAACCTTGGCATTTAACCTTGGCACTGGGACAAAGGGTCTGCTTATATCCTCTTACCTCTTATTGCCAATGAAGCAATGAAGTAGTCCCGTTACCCTCCGGAAGCTTCTTTTCATCACTACTATGTGGCAAGCATTTCAGGTTCAGCTTATAAAAACACCCCTCATGCTTTGTGAAGTGATATTTGCACATTTTTTCCAATTACCTTAGTTTTTAAGCCACTTTAACTGTTTCTGCTTATGAGCATTATCAAAGCTTTGCAAATAGGGACTAATATTTCTGGCTTATTGACTCAAAGAGCTAAGTCGAAAGTTTTTCATTATGTTTTATGACCTACTTCAGCTTCTGGGGAACTGAAATGCAACTGGACTTTAAATATTTGTGTCTGGATCAAAAATGTGCTTTTGATATTGTCAAGATTTCTTTTGCTGCTGAAGGTCGCCACCCCTGACTTTAAAAGACTTCTCCCATTCTTACTAATGGCAGCCTGATGGTAGCAACACACTGCAGGTAATGAGATTTTCTGTTTTCAACTCTCCCAAACACTCAATAAAACATGCAGGAACCTTTTTCATTCCTTCATTGGTCACTCTCACTGAAATGTCCTTACTCCAACCTGAGATTTCAGTCCCTACCAATCTTTGTATTCCTCTTTATCGATTATTTCTAATGCTTCTATTGAGTCCTTTAGTGTAGTGGTAGCGTGCTCGCCTCACAAGCAAGAGGACCAGAGTTCAATCCCGGGCGGGAAGAAACCTTAGGCAAATTTCCTTAATTCACTTGCCTCTGTTTACCTAGCAGTAAGCAGGAACCCAGTTGTTAATTGATTAGCAGATCACTTTCTAGGGGTAATGGTTTCGACCAGCGCACTTAGCAAGTGGTCTGGTCTTCACGGATATTCCTTGATACTAGGTTACATTCCTTGATACTAGGTGGAGTCCTGTAGTTCAGTGGTTAGAGCACTCGCTTTGCAAGTGAGAGACCTGAGTTCAATTCCAGGCAGAGCGAAACCTTGGGCAAGTTTCCTTACTCCACACGCCTAATAATAATCCCTCCAAAACAAAAAACAATAATAAATTGGTCATTTTCAATCTACGACTG